TATTTCTTATAAAAAATGTTCTATGAAATGAAATTTTGTGATTATACAAATATCATGTATAAGAATGTTATTATTGAAAACAGGACTAACATATTATCAAACAACTAAATAATTTGAAATACTATTGTAACTTATAATTTAGTACAATATTCAAAGATATTTAAAAGCAAATGTAAATGATTGATAACGCTTGTGATGGAATATAACATTGGTCACGTTCAATATGAAAAAGTCATGATGATCTTGTTATTTATGTGTACGTCTAACAGAAGCGTCTATGTGTAAAAAAACATGGATTATTTAGGTAAAAGATATGAATATATTCTAATGAAAAATAAGTCCTAATAACATATGATGTATAGCAAGGGAGAAAATGACGTATTTCGCATCACTTATGCTTTTAATTATATATGATATTATTCTGATTTATGCTATTTATGAAACCAGACTTGCTGTCAATTATATGATGACGCGTTGATTTACTAGTGCATAACCTAAAGAATGATGTCGGATAGTTTGACTTTATTGATATTTCTAATTACCACTTTGATAATTTATGCTCATTCGAGATGCGTTCGCGGACATATTACAGCTCAGAATACAAGTAAAATATCTTATTTCATTGATGAAGTAAGAAAAAATAAATTTTTCTATTTATTGTAGAATACGGTACTGTTGATACGTAATGTACATTCAAAAATATAAAAGTAATGTCTAGTTCTTCATTCAACTCACCGTTTCCTGATCGCCTCGAGTGTTAATGCACAACAAAATCAATGACTTCTTGTGGATTTGGTTTTGTTGCCAGTAAAGCAGCACCACCTTTGGAATGTGTAGCATACAACAATGCAGGTAAATTAATATCTGTTAAGGAAAACGATCCATCAGAAATTTGTAAATCTGCAAAATGTGCTGGTACAACTAAAAAGAAAGTAGTAACATCTAGTCAATAATAAATTGATATAAAAATAATAATAAGTTGTAAACATTTATCATCTCATATACAATTTTGTTCAATACACAAAAATATATAGTACCCTATGGTTTTTTCCTGACACATGTTTTCTAAAAATTATGAATTAGATTGGAGAATGTATTCTTTTACAATTTATTTTATAAAGCAGGCATCATGAAAGAAAAAAAAATTACTACATTTTTTGTTCGAAGAATTGGAGTTTTTTTATATTTATTGATACTTTTTGTTGCAGACTGATTGCAACGATTCGATCCGCACTCTCTCGAAAGTTCACAGTACAAGACACTCCTATCATACAATTCTAAAATTTGATATCGAATATACATAGCACTTATATTTGCACACACTATATAGATAAAGATTATTAAAACCATTTAGCTTTGTCAATTGCGCTACACAAATTTTATTATGCTAGCAATAAACAGATAACGTATCATTGTTCGATGTTAAATAATCCTACAACATATAACCTCCATCTCCACAATCAAAATTCAATAAAATTTTATTGTTACTTCAAACAGTTATTATATTTGTTAATTGTAAATCGGTAAAATAGCTATTTAGTTAACTACTGTCTCATTAAACAATTCAAAGGATGAAAATATTTATAAGTCTCTTTATTTAAATTTTGAATAAAACATGCAATGAGCAAGTTTGTTTGAAAAAATAGTTTACTTATAAAATGCATTTTTAAAAGAGAATGAAATAATATTTAAGAATGAAACCTATATAATTACATACGAATAACTAACATTAAAATTGACTATTTGTTTTTTAATTATCAAAT